GCTGTTAATTTCAGTAGTTAAAAGAGGCCCAGCTAAGAAGTAAAGTTACTGAACAAAATTGGTTCTGTTTTACCTCAAACCAGGACATTCCACCCCATGGCACTCCCTCTATTATTGTTTTGCACTGAAACTTCATGGGGATTTTGGCAAGCAGAACATAATTCCCTTGGCTGGAATGTGGCCAGGAGAGCTGAAGTTAAACCCAACTCTAAATGTAATCATGACTTAGAATGGAGTTTACTTAAAATAACCCAACATGCCCACAGGAGAATGGCAGTACTGTGATATCGCATCGCAATCACGGGATGGCTACGTCCAACACATTTCAGGGAAGAAAACATAGGAAAATGACAGGAAAACGGAACTTCATTTCTTCTTCCTGTGTTGTAAATGTTAAAACGGGGCCCTAAGTTTCACCAGAGCAGGACATGTAAGATTCAGAGAGATAAATAGTTTCCTTGCCACTTTCCACTTCATTTGAAAACTGGTGACGTACAGGAGGGAAATTGAAGTCTGTTATTGAGAAGGGTTTTTTTACCCCTTACTCAAGGACAATTAAGATCCTCAAGGCCTCACTCAGATTGCTTTTCATGTCTAAGAGATGGATAGGCTCCTTCATCCAGAAAAATTAATGGCTGTATCATTGTATTTGAAACTCTGGAGTGAAATACAAATTCTGCCGATGCTTCCTGCTTTTGTAAAATGTTTGTCTCAGACTTGTGGAGCTGCAAATTCTTTAGTTATGGATACATTCAGATCTGCCTTTAATTCTGAGGCTTGGAATTCTTTCTGCTTTGTTTTGTCACTGCATCACACACTCAGGCAGCGAGAGAAACAAGCTTTCCTGGTTTCAAGAATTATTAAATCCTCTTCTCAGTGAGCCCTCATTTAAATCTTCCATAGGCCTATAGTCCTGCTGGAACATATAAAATGTAAGCAAGAATTTATTTGAATGAGTATTTCCTTTTATTGAAACCTGACTAAGAGAATCAGAATTTGGCCCAGTGTTCCAGACTACAGATAATTCATGTGTGGTAAGTTGAGCGTTTCAAAGAAGTTCTTCTTCTAGTACTAGTGACTTTGAGTAACCATTAATAATTATAGTCATGACATTCTGATTTACTCTAGTTGAAGATTAGGCCCAGGCTTTTGATCAGTCATCTGCTCTCTGGATTTTGTTTTTACGGTTGAAATGGGTAGACAATTTTTTTGTTCAATTGTTGAGTTTCATCTGTTGCAGATGAGTCTTCATTTTTACCACCCTGCTAAAAGCACCTAGTGGCCATGAGGCCCCTTTGCCTTGCTATAAACACATTTTTTCCCAGAGGGCAGAGACTGCACTGGGCAAGCTGCAGCCAGACATGACTGAAGCAACAGGGAGATTTCAAGTCAAAGGTAATATATTTATTTATTTAGCGGCGTCAGGCTGCTAGGGCATTTAACCACCCCAGCACCACCACCACAGTTACAGGGTGACTTTGCCATCAGAACATCCTCATGATAAAAGGAAAAAACAACCCAGGAGACTGAAAGAAAAACATTTTTTGTTGAAGATAATTCAGAATTACTGGCTGTTCTTTCTGTTCTTATAAAAAGCTGTAGAGCTTTGAAAGGCTGGGTCTGTGAATGACAGAAAGATCTGCTTGAGAAGCCAGGCTCAAGCACGCCTTTTGGAAAAGGAGCTCTTCCCTGACAGCATTTCTTGGCTCCACAGAAACATATGCTATGTGAGATCAGGAGAGTACCTTTCAAACAGAAGCTATCTCCTGCTGATGAATTGTCTCAAAGACGCTTTTATTTCTATAGTATCCATAGTATAGAAACTGCCTTCATCAGCTGTGCTGTCTAGAGCAATGCCAGTCTTCAAACCAGCAGAAGGAGTTTCAGGAGGAATCTAAAATCTAACCTCTCTTTGCTTATTGTGTAATTCCAGTTTCTTAGAACTAAAAAAAAAAACAAACCAAACCCAAAACCACGACCCTCATTCATATTCATTCCTGATTTAATTCTACTGCCATCAGGAGAGCTGTGTCAGGGAGTAGTTCCCTTCCAAAGATGGGTGTTAGCTTTATCAGGCAGCTGAATTTGAAAAAGATTTTGTAGGGTTCCACAGGACATTAAAAAGCATCCCATAACTTCCACAGTATATCATCCCTGTCATGGTATTGCCTTGTACTGCACTGACATCCACCCTGCCGTGGAAACACAACAGCTTTTATCCTCAAGGACAACATTTGGAAGTGGAACTTATCTTTACTTCTGATGTGTCACAGCTTTAATAACCTGTTGCCTCTGGGTACAAAGAAACGTGTTTCCTCTGCAGCAAGCTTGAGTGGGATAAACCCAGAACTAGGAGCAATGGATTTCTATGTACAGGATAGCCTTACACCCAGGACTTTCCAATAGCAAGTAATTTCCCTGAGGCTCTGTGGTTACTGCTGTGCAGGACTTAGATTCCCGAGGACAGGCTCTTGCTCATAATCAGTAGTAATCTGTTCTGTGCGGGATGTCAGCATATATAATCTTCCAATACAACCAGAATGTTAATTTTCTAATACAGCCATACAGATCTGGAGTGCCACAATAGAGCTTGCTTTTATACATATGTATTAGCTAAAAAAAAAAAAAAAAGACCTTTGTGGAAACTAATGTTCCATAGAGCCTCAATAGAAAAGTGAAGCACTTGAGCTCAAAGGGAAAGAGAGCTTAAAATTATCTGCTTTCACTGAAACAATAAGACACTTGGCATTTTCACCTTGGATGGGATTTCCATACATTTGGAGGACAGTTCAATTGCTTTTCCACCAAAGAGGGTTAAAACAATAAAACAGGATAAAACAAAAGGAGCAACCTACACTGGCTTTCCAACTGAAAACAGTGTGTCCTGGAAATATTATGAACAATGGAAGCTTTCCCTGGCAGCTGAACCATCAGTGATTTTTCCCTTGGTGCTTTTCTGGCTGGGAACATAATTTCTATGCAGTTCTTGCAATAATCAGCGTAGGAGCCAGTGGTAAAGGCAAAAGAGTCAGTTTGCTTGCAGGTTCGCTATAGTTGCTGCTGGTTTTCACCTGATGAGAAGATAACCTCCTTCTGTGAGGACCAAAGTCCCCATCACATCAGAAGCAGCTGTAAGAAAAGTCTGCCAAAAGCTCTGAAGCTACTGCTGACTTCAGCAGGGAAACACACAGGATCAACCCTTATGTGTCAGCCTCAGCTACTACTTTCCGATTTATTATGAGCAAGGTGTTTTTGATATTCACAGTCAGCTCTAGATATGTGTCTAAAGGACAATAGCATGCCCTTGTGGAGGAGGAATTATCTTCCTGCTTCAGATTCTGTGACAGGCCTTGCCTGTGACTTGCCACAGGGAGAGAAAGATTATTCACTGAATGCTGAAGTGCTGTCCCGTTTTTCCAGCCTGTAAGAAAGCCTGTTGAATAGCAAACCAGCTCAACTTTAAGCTAGACGGATCCAGTTTTCTTAAGGATGTTCTGTAGATTCTCACTGCTGATGGCCAACGACAACCTCTCTCTTAAAACCAGTGTTGCTCCCATCAGGTCAGTGTGTTCTCCAGTGCTTCTGCAAGAGAGCAAGAATGTAAAAAAAGAGAAGAGGCATCGCTGTGTGGACTGTGCTGAAATTCAGTGATTGCCTCAGCAGGATGATCTCAGGCCACATCAGAACGCAAGTTCTCCAAGGCCAGTCATCTGTTCTGTTTTGTTGGAAGCTTTGTGCTGTTTGACCAGTAACTGCATGAATGCACCATATTACACCAAAACGGAATCAATATCACACCAGGACTGTGTTCTCACAGTTCTAAAATCTGTAGGATATGCACAGTGCAGCTCTTTGGATGTTCTCCAAAGTTGTGTATAACCTAGAGGCATAGTAAGTAAATTTCTGCGTTACTGCTTTTCTGAGAGGTTTTACTATTATCCAAGGGCTTTTGTAAGTCCTCATGAAGATAGTCATCTATAGGCAGGATCATATAGTGTAAAAGTAGCTGTGACCAGCATGTCAGATAATTTCATGATCTTGTTTATTAATTTCTACACCCAGAAAACAACTGTACCGTGGCCTTTGTGTCATGCACAGAGACCTACAAGATTTTTCCAAAATTGTTTGTTGTGTGTACAATTACAGGAAGTCCTCAATCCCTGTTATACAAGTGTCACACCCTTCACAAGTGCATAGTTTCTCTTCTCTGGTGTCCACCATGAACAGAGAAATAAAGACTTTATCTCTCAGAATGCAGGATATCTCATGACATTTGAAATATGATAATTATCCTGAGTTTATGTTGATAAAATCTTCAAATTTCACTTCGTTATCTGTATGTGGTGCATAACTATGTAAGGTTAGAAGAGTTTTAGAGAATTTAAAAGATAGCTAATCAAACAGTAAAGGTCTGATTTTTGTGTTTGTCTTTCTAAAAGATAATCTGAGTTATATGGTTCCTATGATAAAAACACTCAGTAGCGATCTGAAATGGTTTTTGTACAGGCTCCTATACCATGATTTCAAACAATAGTTTCTCAAGACATTCCAGAGCTGGACACAAATGGGAATGCTCTCTTTCTCCCAATAACGCAAAGCTCCCAGGATACCACGGATGCAAGAGATCCGTGTTTAAACTCAGCAGAGAATCTGGTCCACCCTGAACCCCTGGCAAGTGCCAGTCTGGAGTGACACAAAGAAGCTGTGGCAAGGCCCTAAATCCAGACTATTTGACGGCCCCTAGTGATGCCATAAAAGCATTTTTGTATATGACATAGTTATCCCTGGTTCTGAAGGACAAAAGATTCTTAATCATAAGGTTCATTTGAAAAATGTGTTTCCAATTTGGACATAATGTTTTCAGAATCAGTTATTGTACAGTTTGTGTTTCCAAAATTCCATTTCACTCTTGGATTCTGCCTCTAAATATAAATCTCTTCCTCCTTCCTTGTCCTGTTCTATATATATAGCACACCCACATGTGATAAAGCCTTCTGCCATAGCAGTAAGGCAATGGGGAGGGAGGCTGTAGCTAACCTGTGGGAGCACTGAATGCACTTGGCTGCTGCTCACAATACTCCAAAGATATAATTATCACATGCATGATGAGTACTACACCTGCCACATCTCTTTTGCTTAAATAAATAAAAGATTCCTTAAATGCCACACAGCTCCCATACTGGGAAACCATTAGCCAGAGAGGTCACCAGGGGACTTCACGCTCCCTGTCCTTCACCTTCCACCAGGCAGGTTCCCCATGACATCTCTCATGCTCTCTTCCACCCTCCCCCAACCTTTTCCTATGAACATCCTTGGCATCTCCTTTTCAGTGCCCAGTTTTCTCCTTCATTGTGATTTTTTCTTCTTTTTCTTTCGGCTGTCTTTGAGCCTCCTTTCCTGTTGCCTGTAAATCTGATCCATTACAGTTTGTAGGTAGCACTTATCAAGCAAGAATTCTCAGTGAGAAGCTGGGATAACTTTAACATTAAGGATGTGCTTCGTAGGTGCTTCACCCATCATCCTTGTTAAAGCTTGCTTTGCCTCTGCAGCATAATTTAGCATTCTGTTCAGCCAGTGCATTATTTCTTCTTTATCAAAAGAGTTCTTGCGTGTGTCTGTAACCACACTGCTGCCTAGTATGTGGCCTAGACAAGCTGCCTGAAGGCTTTTTTTTTTTTTTTTGCTTGGACCATCTGCTGGTGAAATGTTCCTATCACTAAAATCTCTTCCACATAAGGAAACTGACCCATCACTGGTTACTTGTCAGTGACTGATGTCCTCAAACAGGGACATGACCATTTTGAGACTGCTACAGAAGGTAGTGTTAGGTGCTTTGACAATTACTTTGTCCCATGTCTGCTAACAGTAAATCCATTTTTAAGCCAGTACAGTAAGACCTTTGCTGACTGTTGTCAACAATGAATCACTTTCCTATCATAGCGGGAACCTTAAGAAATGCTTCAACCCAGCAGAAATATCTTGTTCATAGTCACTCCCCAGATTCTCATTTCTTCTGTTATTGGTAGTGGATTTTGCAGCTTCCTAAATCAGCTCTGACTCATGTCATTTCATCCACATACCTTTATTTCTCTCTGTGCACCATTATGCATGTACCAAAAGACAGCCAAAGAGTTCAAAGGCCTTACAGGACATGTGTCAAGCAGAGCAAGGTAGTGGTTAGAGAACTGGGGTCTATCTCAAGCTTTGCCTGTGACTTATAAAAGGCTAATGAGATTATTTAGTTGAATAAATCCAAGTGCATGGAATTAGACATTTAACAACATATATAGTGGGAACATGGCCAATTTTTCAGGATGCTTAATTCCAAAAATTTCATTGATAGCAACAGAATCTGTTATTGTTCAGACCCTTTTGAATTCAAACCAATTTTCATAGATAACAAAGAAAAATAAGTGTTAGTATCTAAGTTTGAAAATATCCAGCATGCACTGTTTTTCCCTCAATTGCTAGAAAAAAAGAAAGAATTATTTTCCCCATGGTTTCATAATGTGCTTATATATCCTGAAGTGACAGGTGATGTGAGAAAGCAACAAGTCTGTCTGTATAAAGTCATGCATATTTTAATATAAGAAAAAAAATCTAGTGACTAAAAGAAAAAAGAGCCATACTTGAAAAATAAATTTGGTAGCAGATGTAGAGTACCTCTAGCATTAGACCAGCCTGTTACCCAAGAGAAAAGCTAGTTCACTGATGTCTGTAGGTGGTAGGATCCCATCATGGCATGCCTCCTGCTTCATGACTCCCGCCAAAAAACAAGATTTGTGTATCAGGGAATTCGAGCCATGCCCAGTGCCTACATTGACTTACAGGGGATCCAAGAGGAAAACAGCATCCATTAAAAAATTAATTGAGCTTAACTTTGTTTCTTTCTATTGCTATTTTCATAAAAGCCTGGGAAGTATGGGACAGCTTCAGAGACTTTAATAGCAATTCTTGTCTTTCAGGCATCGGATCTCAAAATCAAAGTTTAGGTAAGTAAAACTAACTTTTGCTTTTCCTCCTTTCTACTGCTTTTGTTCCTTACTTTGTGAAGTGGTTTACGTATGCATCTGTGGGACACAGTGGTGATTCTAAGAGACGCTGCCAAACTTGTCAGGTTTTAGTCAGTCATTTGTGAAAAATCAAGATCCTTTTTCTTAGTTTCATACTGAAATAAGGCACAGGGACTACTGACAGTATTTCACTCAGAAGTACCTATCTGATTGCTACCTACGTATCTCAAGCCATAAAATATAAAAGCAGAAAGAAAAAAAGTTCAACCACATAATTATACTACATCCATCAACATCAACCCTGTCAGTTCAAGGTTCCCTTTCCTACACTTTGTTGCACTACTCTGCTTTGCTTTATTGTAAATCTTTCAGCTGATGAGGTTTGCATACTATTTGTGAAATGCTCCCTTTCACCATGGGACATGTGGAGTTTTTCTGGTGGTATTTGTTTTTCTGTTGACTTAAAGCTTTTGAAAATGTGAAGCACTCCCCAGATGGTCATCTGTGAGTTTCCGCTGGAAAGGCTGACGGACCTCATGGAACTTGGTTGTTGAGGTCCCAGTCCATTTCTACCTCTTCAGTAGCAGCACAGCTGCCCCCATAACTCTGAATTCAAAGTCAATTTTATAAAACCTAAATTAATTTTCAGAATAATTGGAACAAGTGAGCAACTCTGTCCTTCAGCTTATCTAAATAATGAAGAGTAATGTAAATTCGGGAATGCACATACGCATATGTGCTGTCTATATGCATCTCTGTGCAAAGAGTTGCATGCATGATCGTATTTCTACAGTCTGTGGATTTATTTGTATGTAGTTGTAAGCACAAAAAACCACTTGTATCATCACACGGTCATGTGCACGCACATTTGTGCACAAGTACATAGAAAAGTGCATGGGATGGCTAATGATTTAATGCCAACATGAATGCCTAAGTGTTGTGCCCATTTTGAAACCTGGGAAGATCATTTCTTGTCCTAAATCCACTGCAAAACACGCAACCCTTATTAAATGTTTGTGCTAGCTAGACTGGGTGCCTTTATAAATTGCGTAGCTAAAACAGCCTGGATTTGATTACCTGTTAACATGTTGCAGCATTTTTGGCCAGTGTGTGATGTTCACATTGCCTGGCTTTAGTTCTTATAGAAGCTGAACCCTGACCTCAAGCATGGTCGTAGCTTATCACTAGAAATAATACATAAGAGAAGACTAGCCAAGAAAAGTTCTCTTTTCCTGTAATGTTGTATATTTGTGTGTTTCTTTAGAGACAAACATACGCATGCACACACATATATGTATATAATATCTATATAAAACTATTAGATTTATTATACAGTGGCAAGTGTTGCCTGGAAACTGGTTGCTATGCAAGTTAAATTCTGAAGAGTAGGAGGTGTGTAATTAGCTTTAAATATCTTCTGTGGTTAGTAATTACCCTCAGAAATCAGTGACACAAGGGGATGTGTTCATGGAAGGCAAACTTTAAAAGGTCTGTTGATTAGCAAATGGTATCCTTAGTTCCAGGTATGAAGGTGCAATGCTGAGGTACTCTAAGTTTTGGGTTTCTGTTCAGAGTTAGCCCTCATATTGGGCTTACTCCTGAACCTTGCTGAATGTTGGAAATGTTCCATGGATTTTATTTGACCTCACCTCTCTAAGGACTTAATCCAAAGGTCCATAGTATATAGTGGGTATCTTTTCATTGACTATCCTGAGGCTGGGCAAGGTCCCATTGCAGGCCACAAACATAAAATACGAGAACAATAATTATTTCTGTGAGAATCGGGCTAAAAAACATCTCAGGGTAGCTGCGTTGGATATCTTAATCAGATTAAGACATTGCTTGAAGAGGTTTATTCACCCCTGAATGTTGCAAATTGGTTTAGGACTAACTTCATTCCTATCGCTAAAGGAAGGATGATCACAACTGTCGACTCAGATGAGAATAAGAGAACATTTCTCAGGGTGAACTTTAAAGTTACTCTCTACCACTCTTGAACAATAAATCAAGGCTAGAGTCTCTCTTGACAGAGATTTGCAATAGCCTAAGGATCCCTATCTGAAAAGAACTTTTCCTTCTCCAATCTTTCAAGTCGCTACTGGCGTCGATGGAATCGATTCTGCAGAAGAAAGTGCCGTGCTGCTGTCAAGTCCAATGTTTTTTACTGGTTGGTGATCTTTCTTGTGTTTCTCAACACCCTTACCATTGCCTCTGAACACTACAACCAGCCAGACTGGCTCACGGAGGTCCAAGGTAAGGAGAGGCTGATGGTTCTGTTTATTGTGGTCGGTGTCAAAAAAGGGGGCTGAGGGAGGAGCTGATGCATTAGACCACACAATGTAAAAGGAGTACACACAGCTCCACGTAGTCCTCTGTCTGTGGAGGATCTTAAAGAATACAACAAAATATCTGCCTACAATGGGAGAAGTCTCAGGGGAAACGCAAGTTCCTCATTTCCAACCAAAGCAGCGTTCCACTGGTTGTAGGTGAAATCAGGATCTTATGCTAAATGTATGTTTGCAGCAACTGGATTTCTGATTTATGGATAGCTACTGGGAGCCACAGGTTGTCCAAGGTTTTCCCTGAAATGGCATTTATGATAAATTCTAGTTACCAGGGAGTTGAGGAAGGAAGAGTGATTTGAAAAGTTCTTCTGTCTGCAGAACAGTTGAATCCTCACTGGAGGTGAGAGCAGCTGAAAGGCTTAATTAAGCAACAGTAGGTAGCACAGCAGCTCTTCTATTCCCACTCTCATCTGCAGATGACAAGTGTGATGGGAGGTTGTGCACAGGAAGGCATGTCCCTGCCATGGAGGTTGTGTGGTTGTGTAATACATTGCAGCTGTATGTGCAGTACATAAGAATTGCTGCAAGCATCTTCGTAAAACTTTTCTGTGAATGAGGTGCCCATGCTTTTGAAGTCCATTCTTTGACCCAAGCTGATATGAAGTTAATCTTTCAGACTGATCCCAGAAAGGGTTTTTTATAGGCAAGGGCCAGTGATCAGCTGTGATGAGCTTTTGATTAAGTTTCATTAATCTGTTTCTGTTTGTTTTTCATGAGACACTGCCAATAAGGTGCTGCTAGCTCTTTTCACGGCAGAGATGCTGCTGAAGATGTACAGCCTTGGTCTCCAGGCCTATTTTGTGTCCCTCTTCAACCGCTTTGACTGTTTCATTGTGTGTGGAGGAATCCTGGAAACGATTCTGGTTGAGACGAAGATCATGTCACCACTGGGCATTTCGGTGTTGAGATGTGTCCGACTCCTAAGAATATTTAAAATCACAAGGTACTTTTGTGCTTCTTTGGGAATGAAGGAGGGTTACTGCTCAATTCACAACGTATGTAGGTACAAGTCACTCACATCTCTGTTTTTTCACTTTTTCTACCGCTAATTGGGTAGTGGGAGTGTTAGGTTGACAGTCCTTATCTTCTGAAGTCAGTGGCAGGATGGGGAGGGCTGTACAGACTGGATATCCCTGATGTGAGTAGTAAGGATTGGTGAGGAGTCTGGCATAGGCTGGAGACACTCAATACCATGCAGATTGTTAAACTGAAATCTGAAAGGATAGCGTGAGCTGAGCTTGGGCTTTTGGGTTCCCTGCAAAAGACAAAATGAAAACAAAACAGGAGATAGCCTTGTGACCTTTTCTGTTGCTTTATGGTGATGGAGAGGAGCCTGAAAGACAGCTCTGAGCCAAGGCAGCGTTTGACTGAGGAGTCCATGCCAGCTCCAGTAGACTCAATAGTGGCCTGAGTGGGAGATACTGTCAACACCAGCAGTTATAGGCAAAGGATGTTGCCAACCCCACTCCTTCAGAAGAGTCCAGCATGAAGCAGCAGCTTTATGAAGAAACCAGACTTTTCCAGACCCCAGTCCCCTCTCTTTTTCGTTTTCCTTCTTTGTGTTCTCCCTCTGCATAAAGACACAGTGGTGTCTATTAAACAGTTGCTGCTTCCTGCAGTCAGGTACCTTCAAAACACCAGCTTGGTTTGGCAAGAGTTTTTCAGCTTGAGGGGAGGTTGTAGGAGAGGCCAGTTCCCAACTTACCCAGATGGGAGCTCTTGGAAAAGTGCTCACCCAAAGCAGCACAGAGTCTGCCTTTTCCCACGTGGGCACCAATCAGCACCTTATAAAAAGCTTGACTGAGGTGGTGAAAGTGTGTGTTTTCTGCAAGCTCAGCTATGAAAATGTCCCTAGAATTGCTATAAACTCCCCCAAAGGAAATTTCTGACAAATTTGAGATAAAAAACACAGTGCGTTACAAAAACAAGACCAAAACTGGAAGGCAGTCAAAATGGCAGAGCTGTGAGGCAGAAAAAACAACAGACTTGGACTTGTGTATCATACAAGATTTTACCCTTAAAGCTTCTGAGCCTCAACTCTCTGGCAGGGTGGATGGGTTTCAAGGTCAGATGGCAGAGACAGAAAATCAGTTTACAGTCTCAAAGAGACAGGCCAAAGCAAGCCTACAACTGTTAAAAAAGAAAAAACAGTGGTCTGTTTAGATGTGTGATCACAGAAGAGGGAAAAATGTTCCAGCTAACAAGGAGTTTCCAGCAAGAAAGGTGTCTTTGACCTTTCAGAAATAGTGGGGATCTCTGGCCTGGTGGCTGTTTTTCCTGTATCTTTGGGTCTGAAAGCTATCATCACTGAGTCCCGGGCCTGGTTTCTGAGGAAACCAGTAGCTGTTTCAGGCATTGGGTAATCAGATACACCCAGGGCAACATACCAATAACTATAAAAGCATAAGCTTCAACATAGCATCCTGGAGAGGTCATTGTTTCTTCAAGACATTTCTCCACTCCTACACAAAATATATAACCTAGCTAAGAGAATTCTCTAATAGAAAGGCAAATGCTGAGAGAATAGCATTAATACTTTAGGAAGCTTGAGCTTTTGGAGTATTCAAATGTTCCTAAAGCTTCTGGCAGAGATGTAGTGTTGGAACCAACCAGCCGTAGGACTAGTTATATTTACCTTCATTTTGCAGCAGAACTAAAATACAGTTTTGCATGGAAGAAAATGTTACCTGGAATGTGTCTCCTGCAATTTGTACTGGGGTCTATGTGTAAAGCACAGAGCTGAGGAATAACTCATAATGAATAATGTATTAATCAGATTTTGCCTTCTTTCCTGTTCCTAAAATATTGGCAAGTAGGTTGCAGTAGTCTCAGATTTATGTGTTTTTTAATTATTCATAATTTTCTTCATGATTTTTCCCCTCCGTGGGTGAAGTTCACCCTCATGTGGAAGGCCCTAGCATAAGCCTCCAAAGCAGTATTTTAGGCCCACTCATGTCTTACTGCAGGAGAGAATATTCTGGCATTAAAGCAAAACTTTTACCTCTGGTGTTCTCCAGTAAAATACAAATTTTTCCACTATTCCTGTAGCTCTAAATATAATGATGGTTTATTGACCACATTATCAATACTGGTGGAATACACCACCTGAGTGCAATGATAATACAGAAAGATACAATCCTAGAAAGCTGGGAGGAGTAGGAGGGATGATAGTATAACATCTCATGTCAAATATATATTCATGAGCAGTGACATGGGGACGTATGGTGGAGATGGAAATAGTGATCATCAAGGCCATTAAAAAGGCACAAAGCAGGAAAATTATTCTGGTGGGAGTGTATCAGTAGGTAGCCTAATGTCTACATATTCGTATGGATTTTTCATGGTAAACACCGAGCACAAACAAATTCTGGGTGCGTCAAGATGATACGCTTCTAGGAAAAACACAAATACAGCTCCCTAATATAATAGAAACAAATAAAGACACCATCAGATGAACAATGCATCATTTTAGAAACCACATTGAGAATTTCAAGAGCAAACATTTCTTCCAAAATTATAGATACACTTCAGAATCATATAGTCTTGTACATTAGACAAGCAGACAATACAATCTGTTTGGTTTATTCTCCCTAATTTTTACAGGGCTGTGCAGAAAGTCTCCCTTTGCTATGAGAAGACAAATTATTTTCTCTTTATAAATAGTCCTTTATTGCTTTATAAATCCCTATATTTAATCCTTTATACTTAAAAAGTAAATCAATGTATTTGCAACAGCATACTGAAGTTTGACATTTTATACTTAATCCTACCACTAGGTATGTCACTGTTAACTGTAGAGAGGAGAGACAGGGCACCTTCTTTTTGTACCTGCTTTCAAAGTAGTTTTATATTGGATGAGGAGTGTGGGAAGCTTTCCCACAATGAGACTGCCAGCTGTTGCTACTGTTTTAAGCTCTGCATCTGTGATTGCCAGTATCATAAAGACATAGTGGAAGGCAATGGAGAAGAGAGGGAAGAGAATAAAAGAACACATTAAGTTCTAATCTATTTCCGCAGCTGATTTTTGTGTGAGATGTTGAACAAACCATTTAACTTCTCTGCATCATTCCTCCATTTTGAAACAGGGATCATAATCACATCCCACTCACTGGGGTTTTGCAGTGCCTCATTCACTGGCATCCTCAAGGGTCTGAGATCTGCAAGTGGGAGATGTTAACAAGCACATTCATTCCCTATAAGTCTGAGGAAGCAGCAGTGCTTTCTGTCATACCTCGCATTATATGCTGCCTGGTCCAAAACCTCTGATTCCATCCAGCAGTGCCATGAGATTGATTGTAACTTGTTTTTTCTTTGTAGTATATTAACCAAAGAGGACAAAGTAGTGAGAGACTTTTTGTCTGGGCTTCATCCATTCCTGACTTAAAAGCCTTGTGTTTCATTGAGTAACCCCAGATCTGACTTTGAGGGGGTGTTCGTGTTATTTCTGCAGCCACCTAATGTGACAGATGGTGACCTCAGTTCATGCCTCTAGGACTCTAAGATAAGACAATTGTGATTTTCACATCCCAGTCAAGTCAAGCCTTCCTTATCCTTTTTTTTTTCCCCCCTTTTCTCCCCCCCCTTTGTTTACTTTTCTAATGGTGCTGTATTTCTAGCTAACACTCAGTGCACCGATAAAATGGCACTAATCTTATCACCAGGTCATCTCAGTTAATTGCTTTAAGTTTGACAGTTACATAAGAAACTGAATCTCAGGTATTGAGCCATCTGTAAGAAATGCAGAGCTGATAAAAGTCTCTGCAGTTGTGCTCTGAGATAGCAAGGTATTTAAGCTTTAAGTGAGTCATTGAGACTATTCAGATGGGTAACAGCTCTACTGTACACTTCTTAAGGGCACTACTAGGAAGACCTAGAAAATGTGTGCACTGGCTGACATAGGAGGGCTTGGAGATACATTCTGGATCCCATTGGTTTCTGTTTTAAGGATGTTGAAGTCAGTCAAGCTTCATCAGAAATGAAGTTTTCCCTTTTCCTGTGTCACTTTTCCTTCCTCCCAAAGTGTGAAAGTTTGCGAGCTGTAAGCGTAAACGCAAATACAGTGAGCTGTTACATTGCACATTCAGTGCCGACATTTGGTGGCACTGAGCCCACAGCTTCCATGCCCTTACCTTTGGTCTGTAGTTTTTCATTGCTCATCTCTTTAATTGCAGTTAAACTTTAGAGCATTCTCGTTTTCTCTGAAGTGCTGAAGCTGGGCTGGAGGGAAAACATCCCAGGTCTTTGAAGCTCAGCCCTTGGAAAAGAACCAGCTGCTGAACTTCAGAGGACATGGCGGTGTCCCTCTGCAAATCAGATTGCTAACCTTCATAAAGTGATTGGGCTGCTCAAATATTCCTGTCTTCCATGGGACAAGGAAATTCTTCTTTTTAGACTAACATTTTAACAATATTAATTTAACTGGGATTTTAAGAACCCTTGTCTCTAATGACTACACTACCTTCAGAACAGATTTGTATGTTGAAGGATCAGAATTTCTCAAAGGAACAAGAGCACTAGACATGTCTGCCATCCTTCTCAAGTGGAACTCTTTCTCTGAGGAAAATATGGCTAGAAATTCAGAGTCCTCTAAGGAAAGAAAAGTTCAATGTTACGGAGAAGGGAGTGGAGGATGTTGGCCAGGGTGGAATCTCAAAGCATGCTGGTAGGCCACAAGAGATGGTCCTCGAAGGGAGACTTAGAGATCACAGGCAAACATTATTGGCTTGCTGACCTGTGAAAGCTGTTGAAGTTTGCGAGTAATGTGCATTCAAAATGAGGTGATTGGAAGATGACAGCTAATCTTCAGAACAGTCTGAAAGCTCTGTCAGACTCAAAACTGCATAAAAGAGAAGTGGTCATGACCAGCTAAGCAGTAGACTAGAAGAAGATGCAAGACCAAAGTGAAAGTTGCGTCATGGGTGATGTGGTGGATTCTTTGGAATTTTTTTTCTAAAACCCTTTTCCAACACATGGCTACTCTGCAGGCTGGCGAAGAATGCGAGCAAACAGACATGCTGCAGCGGAGCATGTATCTGGCATCTCTTTGAACCCTAAAGTGGGACCACATGGGAAAGAAGATCCTTTCTCAGCATCATACATCAGTCTGATCTGGGCACAAGCCTGAATACACCAGGAGAGCAGGTCTTAGCCATCCTCTCTCTTGAATGAAGCCCTTCCAAAACGTTCTGCAGCCTGTTTGAGAAAGTATAGTGCGTTTGATACTCAAAAAAGCAGTGATGGTGTGCTCTTCCAAGAGCAGAGGAAACTCTGGACTTTATGGATGTAGATCTGGAGTCTCTTTTAGGGTCCATGTAAAAGGATCTTTAATATCTTTCTCATTCCTCTCAATCCCAGAAAGCTTAGCAACCTCTACCTGTGAGTGAGCCCAAGCACATACTCACACGCACCAGATTTTGGACAAGTTTGTATTTGAATCCAAACTGTTTCCCCATCTGCTCTTGTTAGTTATTACAGGCCATTCTCTAGAGTGAGGTATTCTGACTGCCATAACATCTGTGAGTGTTGTAATGAGGTTGGTTAGAATGTAACTCACTGAAGCAGCAAGAACTAATCACTGTATATTGATATAAGATTTACAGAGCCTTAGATGGAGAGTGCTGCAATAATCTTCTGGGTGTGCATATGGGGTGGGGGGTGGAGGGAATTGTGTATGTACACGTGTGGTAGTAAAATTACTCATTAGCTGCAGTAGGTCTCATTATCTTAGGAAAGCACATCAATGATTCACTGCTTAACAGGGTGTTTGGAAATGCCTGCTTATAGGCAGAAGGCAGCCTGAACCAATATCCTCTGCAGTCCGTGAGCACCTGTCTTGGATTGAAGGAATTTTAACTGCCTCTGTTTTCTCTCCCAGATACTGGAACTCCCTGAGTAACCTTGTGGCTTCACTCCTGAATTCCGTCCGCTCCATTGCCTCCCTGTTGCTGCTTCTCTTTCTCTTCATTATCATCTTCTCACTCCTGGGGATGCAGCTCTTTGGGGGCAAGTTTAACTTTGATGAGATGCAGACCAGAAGGAGTACATTTGACAACTTCCCCCAGTCCCTCCTCACTGTGTTTCAGGTAAGGGCAAGAGCAGTCCCAATGAGGCCAACACGTTGTGTTTACATGGGCAAAACAGAGAGCAGGTCCTGCACCCTTCCCCTGCAGTCTGACAGTCCCCGAGAGTGGACATCAGACTAACAGTTCCAGGAGCAAGCTGCCACAGGGGTATTCTCTCCCAAAAAGGGGAAACAAAGCTAAAGCCCCTGTTTGTAGCAAGGCCACCAGGTCTTAGCAGGGTAGGACAAGAGAGTGGCCATTGCCATGTCCCAGGGCAGCGCCTGCATGCCAAAGCCCAACCCTGCAGCTGTCCTCCCTCCTCCCACAGTACTGGGGAACAAATATCTGCTCACAGCACCAGAGAAGTAATCAAACAGCCTTTAAGCTGACTGCTGTTTTGGGAGTGATCAGCCAAGAGCATCAGGATGATGATTTCACATGCCAGGTGAAGGGAAGTGGTGGAGAGGGCTGTGCTGAGGGCTGTCTTCAATGCTATAGGACTAATGTGCAGCCTGTCTGAAACAGCGGGCATATGGGAGGGAAATGCCTGCAAGAGGTGCGAAGGCTTGAACAGAATTGTCTGGGAAAGCTGTTTGGCTTCAGCCATCATCTTCAAGGGGACATCTCTTTTTCTTTTTTAACGCTTTGAGCACAGGCCCTCTTTGCATTCTCCCCAGGGTTTTTTGTTTGTTTTCTTTTTTATTTATTTTCTAGATGGACACAGCCAGAGTCTCCAACCATCCTGGGGGAGGGGGTGTTCTCTAGGATAGTAGATATCTTTGTGTTAATGGGGTTTTCAAATTCTCTATGTGGTCTAACACTGTATCCCTTATTGGTGGGAATGTGTCATTTAGATCCTGACTGGGGAGGACTGGAATTCGGTGATGTATGATGGGATCATGGCTTATGGCGGCCCCTCTTTTCCAGGAATGTTGGTCTGTATTTACTTCATCATCCTCTTCATCTGTGGAAACTGTATCCTTTGATGCTACTCTTTTCTCCAAGTGGGGCTGAATTTAAGGCCACCCTTTACTACTTTGTTATATCAGAAAATAATGAATTTCATACCTTACATTTTTACCTTTTCCCCCTAGGTCTGAATTTTGGCTTTGCACTGCCAAAAGTTAAACAAGTTTGTTTAATTTTAGCTAGTGCTAAGACTTCAGGCATATAAACAGTTGTAAGAGCCAGCTACGTGCCAGTTCCGCATGCTAGCTTTTATTTAGTATCTTTATATGTGTATTGTTTTTATTTTTCGTTCCCATTCTCTCATAGGTTTTTCTTTCCTGCCTTTTTCAGAAACTAATCTCTGTGTGTACCTACTGCACTTACTGAATATTTTTCTTTAATTGCCTTTTCAATAATATATTCCATGTGCTTTCATCCATGCCTTATGTGGAATAAAAATACGTATAATCTACAATGTGCCATATACAAATGCTGTAATAGGAGTAACATATGTTTGACATAATTGATTTATGTGAGATCATATATTAATTCATGTATAAACTAACAGGAACCGTGTCCCATTTCAGTTACTGCAATCTGTGTGTTCTTCAAACGGAAAATCGTGTGCTCTATTATCTTCCAGCTTGTGCTGGTGTGAAATAACTTCAGTTCTCTCTGTCTTCAAGGTGAAGTGAGGGCACTGTACATATCCCAGGAGGTACACAGCACATTGCATGATTAGGCTGTGAGTGTCTTTTCACAGGAATTTGCATATAACACAGAGCTATGGTTCTGTTCCGTATCACAGTTTGCTCCAAATTTGTTCATGTTTAGTTTCTGCTTCCCTAATAAATGGCCCTCCTGTGTCAGAGTTGACATTTCTTTTTATACTGATTCTTCTATAAAACCACCTTGTAGTCTCAGCCCAGATCTTCTGGCCTTTCCTCATAATTCAGATCTCTCAAACCCTGTTATTTGACATTTCAGTTGACCTGCATGCCCTGTCTTCAAAGTGAGCTGGTGCAATTCCACTTATCTGAAGGTCGAAGGAGGCAGGCTGCCTGACAGCTTAAAAAAGCTACAATTTGGATCTCCGTGTGAACTACAGAGGAAAATGTGAGCCAGCTCTACACGCTGGCTGACTTTGGAGCCATTAGACCTTGGAGCACAGGGAGGGGGGTGGCTATATTTCCAGGCTAAGCCTTGAACTGGGGTTTACTTAAAAGTTATCATGGTGTAATAAGACCCACTCTCAAGAAATTTCTAAAAGAAGCTGATGTTCAGATTTGCAACACAAGATCTGACCACTGACTGCCAAGACAAGAAAATAGTTGTGATTCCTTGCCCTTCAGCTACGTGGGCATGACTGGCCATGCGTGGAATCTCTGCTAGGAGATGGCAGAGTTGTCAGCTCAACCCTTCGATGCCCAGACTAAATTAGTTTCTTTTTGGTTGCCTCAGAAATGCTAATGAGTGCTATGCTTGCTGTCCATATAATCCACTCATGTCTGTGAGAATACGTATAATGAGGTGGTTCAACTCAACTACGTAGCCCAAAACTGGAAAGCCCGGGTGCCTTATGGTATGAGGCTCTTGAATATGAGTGCTTTAATAAAAGTGACCTAAGCTGTCAAAGATGCAAAGCATTCAGCACTCCCTTTATCTTCAGTGGGATTTGTTGCACAAAGCGGGACTCTCTTGGGAAATAGGAAACTAAAATGTAAGTTGGGACTTAGATGTTTTATGTCAGTCATTCTGTTGTGAAATTTTGGAAACCCCACACAGTATGCTAGCCATTTGGATAGAAGGTGTAGGTTTGTGCGTGCTGGATATGGGCATCCTGAACATTTGTGTGAAATGGAAGTTTGGAAAATCCAAGAGACCTGATGACAGGTTGCTAAAAATTTTCAATTAAGAAACCTTTAGTACAATGTTGTTCTGCAGTTTTCGAAGTCCGTTTTCTTTAAGTAGCACA